AAGACAGATGCAGACCCCACACTCTCTCTGCTCTCTCTGCTCTGCTCCCCTCTTCGCCCCACACACCATCTTTCTCTCTCTCCAGGCCTGGCTCTCCTCTTCCCCACCCCCTTTCCCTCCTCATAAAGCTCTGGATACTAACACTGGGTTCCATAGTGACCGTGACCTTTCCACGCGGTAACCAGAGCCGCCACCAGCGCCATTTATCATCCTTTCAGTTACTGGTGTAGAGGCTAGCCTCTGCTACATGGCAAACATTTCCAGCAATACCGGAATCAAAAGTAAGAAATGAACCAACCATTCCGACAGTGCTGATGTGGGGCATTCCTGTTACCCAGCCCTCAGAGCAGGAGCAGGGGCAGGGGCATTGCGCCAGTGTTGAGGCTATCCTGGTCTGTATAGCAAACACTTCTGAAAGCAGAGAGGGCAGAGAAAGAAAAGAAAGAGCCGGGAGAGGTAAGTGATGGCCATGTCTTTAATACCAGGAGGCGAAGCCAGGTGGATCTGTTGAGTTTGAGGCCAGCCTGATCTATAACAAATTTTGGACCAGCCAGGGCTACATAGTGAGAAGCAATCTCAAAAACAATGTAAAATAAAAAATGAAGAAAAGGTCGGGGGGGGGGGGGGCTGCAGGAGTGAGTAAAGACGCGTGCTGTCCAGACTTGGAGACGCGCAGACCGGGCCCGGAGTGGAGGCAGTGGAGGGGGTGCCCGTAGCTCTCACCAAGGTCTGTCATGTGTGAAGATCTGTACACGCTGTGGCAGGCAGGCCTGGCTGAGGCCCTGGGGCCGGAGCTACAGGCCGCACTGGTCCTGTTTCCTCAGGGTGTTCACAGAGTGTTCCCGACGGCCTGCTAGCAGGGGTGTGGCCTGCCTGTAGGTTTGCCTGGTGTTCCTTTTCTCCAGGTCTCCAGGGAGCGTCTGACTGATGCCAACCAGGGTGATAAACAGCCCCAAATCCCTGCTTGTTTACCGGGAAATGATGGCCTCAGATAGGAATTTAAAACATGCACCTTTTAAGCACCGGGACATCCATGTCTACTCCACACCCGGATGTAGAAAACAACCAACTGAAAACTTGGTGCGGGACACCTGCACACACAACACCCCGAAACCTGCCCTGTGCAGGAGCCCTCCCACATACATATATGGAAAGGTTCATGCGAGCATTGTTTACAGGTGTGTGGGGTTAGTGTGACAAATCCATGGAAGTCTGGTGAAGGAACAGTAGGAAAATTATTAGGATCTGAACTGAGGAAACACACTCACGAATACAGAACGGAGTGGACAGCTGAAGTCATCCTCTGACCGACGGGGAGGAATCCGCCTTGAAGTTCGATCACACCAGGAAGAGGGCCACAGGAAGAAGGGCCCGTGACCCTTCTCCCTTTCCTTTTAAGAGGTCAAGTATAATGGCAAGAAGCCCCGCCTCCTTTGGGCCCCATAGCCAAAGGTCATGGGTGGAGCAAATACCACTACATTTCCCCTTTGTGTCTAAATATGAAAATCCTAAACTTAATGCAAACTATATACAATAAGAATGATTGCCAGTGGTGGTGGCGCACGCCTTTAATCCCAGCACTCGGGAGGCAGAGCCAGGTGGATCTCTGTGAATTCGAGGCCAGCCTGGTGTACAGAGTGAGTTCCAGGGCAGGTGCCAAAGCTACGCAGAGAAACCCTGTCTCAAAAAACCAAAAAAAAAAAAAAAAAAAAAAGAATGATGATCAAGTATTGTCCAGGAGAAACAAAGGTGATAACACAAACAAAAATGCAACCACAACCAACAACAACAGCATCAAACAAGAAACACATGCTGAATGTCCAGAAATGTCCAGACCATAGGGAAATGACAAATTACCAAGATTATTCAAATAGCTGTCCTATCCTGAAGATCCTAACTCGAGTACTTAATATGTTCTACCTAAGATACAAGAAGATAGTAACTGTAACTATCTAGTCTTCAGCTCCATCATAGACCTGAGAAGGAGCATAATAATACCTGAGAAAATGGAAAATGCAAGCAAGCAATTTCCAAAATTCCTGTGAGAATAGACAGACAGCTGGCAGCCTGGACAGTCACCTGAAGTTTCTCAGCATTGTTGGGGCATCCAGTTTAGCTACAGACTAGAATATCTGACAGACCATTTTCAGAAGCAGGAATTATGAACGACCATCTTACCCTGTCTTGGCAAGGTTCATTAGTCGCTTTTCCTTGTGTCCTGTTTGTCTAGAAAGGACGGCATTCGTACTGTCAGCAGTTGAGGCAAGGGTAGTTTTTGCCCAGCAGGCCATTTTGTGCCAAGAAGAAGACAAACTTCCAAATGAAATGTCTTAGAAGTCCAACATTTTCTTGGGATCAGATTGTTGCTGCCAGGAGCAATTATGTCTCACGTCATCAGAATTCTAAGTTTTCAAAACATTTAAATCCCATATTCTCCAGGTCTATGAAGTGTTTGGAGACTACCTGTCCATCTGACATATGTTTCTGTAAGTCTGGAGAACCTAACTAACGTAACTACAGAGATGACAAGCATAGGTGACTATAGATCTGTAAGTCTTATCTACCTAGATAACCTAAGGGCTAAGGGTTGGTTAAATGGTGCTGCTCGTGGCTGGCCACCACCTGCAGCGGCCACGCCGGCAGAGGAGAGTGCTGATCAGAAGAATCACAGCCATGGTTACCTTTTTAGAGCTTTATTGGGAGAGGGGGAAGAGAGGGAGAGGGAGAGGGAGAGAGAGAGAGAGAGGAAAGAGAAGGGGGCTCACAGAGGGTCCACCCGCTTTTTAGGCTGGGACACCGTCTCAGGCTGGTGACGTAACTAAGGACAGAATCCTTACACTAAGGATACACATAAACAAGGTAAATAGTCTGTAAGCAGATGTACCATATAAGGACAATGACCTCAAAATTGTGACAATGCACAAAATATCTTAAACAGAGGTAGAAATGTATAGCACAATATGATAACAATATCCTTGATCTGTATCAATATACAAAATATCCTAAACAGAGGTAGAACATATATACAGTATGACAAATACAATTTTACATTTGTACAATATACAAAATATTTCAAACAGGAGTAGAAATATATGTACAATACAACAATTATAGTTTTGTATTTGTATCACTATACAAATTATCTTAAGTAGGAATATAAGAATTGTTTACATTTGTATCAAATAGACCAGAAATACACAGGTGGCCTGAGGCCTGGGTAGAGGATTTCCACAGGAGGAAAGGGAGTGCCCTCGAAACACTGGAAACTGTGGTGAGTACAACTTGAGAGTAAAAGTGATCAGTGTAAATAAAGAAGCAGACACATGGTAAAAACTTTGTGAACAAGTGTAAAAAGTAAGTATGGGCCAAGGAAATAGAAAACAGATGTTTGTACATTTTCTTAAAGACGTCTTAAAGGCTAGAGATACCTAAGTAGGAGGTCAGCAGCCGTGTTAGAATTTGTGGAGATTTGCCCCCCACCTCCACTCCTGACGGCCAGTGGCTCCTCTGGAGAGATTAAGGGGGTTATGACTGCAAACCCTGAACCCCGAGTCTGACTTTCAGATCTGGTCCCCGCAAGCCAGTAAGTGTAAATGTGAGCGCCCTTTGTCTTGGTCTGTGTTCTATTACTATGTTACTGTTCTGTTCGGTGTGTTTTAGGGGACTGGGTTCCCCTGAACGCTGGGATAAGCAGTAACTCCTGCCGGTTGGTGGCTTGTGTACTGCAAGAGAGGCCATATGCTAGATGGGACTGCTAACCGCGGCGAGGCCCTCATGTCAGTGCTGATGTTCTTGCTGTCTGTGTAAATGTTACTTGTTTCTGTCTGCTAATCTCCCTCACTTTCCTCGAAGAGGCCGAGAGAAAGGCATGGCAAGGGCCGCCTCTCTGTCTCGCTGTGAGGCCCACAGCAGGAGCAGAGCTGGTCTTGGCCAGGGGTGAAGCCTGCAGCTCTCAGAGGGTGAGGAGGGTGTGCATTCTCGGAGCAGCAGGGGCAGAGATGGGAAGGTGGAGGGCAGGGAGTTGACTGTCCACAGCTGACGAGCTCTGCTGAAAGCTGAACCGAGAATCCGAGGTTAATCGTTAATTATTATAGTTAGAGGAGTTAAAAACTTTTTCTTCAGGAACACTGGCAGCCAAGGGCACACTCGGTGCCCACACCCCTCCCTTCCTTCCTAAGCCAAGTTCTTCTTCACTGTGATAACCTCAAGGTCTCCTCTGCTGGCCAGCAGCCTCGCATCTTAACCCTCCTCTGTCCTGATGCTGCTTGAGGAAATGTTGACATGCCAGCCGGTGTGCACTGGAGAGCGTTGACTGTGGAACAAAAGTCAAGGACACGTTATGTTTGGGAGGAATGACGCTTTTGCCTCCACAGGAAAAGAAAATTTACATGGATTTTGGTTATTTGAGTTCAGTGGGTTACAAATACTTGTCATCATTTAAGAGAATTTACTGCAAATTATTATTGGTTCAGATAAAAAAAAAACCTGCTGCTAATCTCAAATGCTTCACATTGCTAGAGGTTTTTATATATTAATTCAAATATAACTTTTTTGCTATGGTATATACATATATCTATATGTTTCTATTCTTGTTGGAAATGTCACACCTATGCAGTGTCCTAAACTGCTGGGAGGAAACCACACGAGAAAGGACTTGGGTGGAAACTTGCTTGTTGTCTGACAAGCAGGAGAAGGGGAAGGCCTGGGATAGGGAAGGAGAGGGAGGGATGTGTCTGTGGCTGGTGATGCAGGAGAGCAAACACAGGGAAGGCTGACCTGAGGCACATGGGAAGTCACAGGGCAGCAGGGATGGGAACTGTGCTGGATTCGAAGGGAAACTGTGAGCTGTATTGGGGCTTTCACCATATTAAGTTAATTCTGGTTGGTTTTCCTCATTTTAAAAATTAGCTGATGATTCTGCATTTACAATATTTAGGGCATATATTATGTCCTAAAGAATTAAAGCCTTAAAAATAAGAAAAGATGGATTAAAAACTTTGAATGACTTTCCATACGCCACATTTCCCACGCCGCGCCGGGCCTCGATCAGAAGGATTTTCAAAAGTTATTAGGAAACATTCAATTGTTACGATCTTATTTAAAATTATCTACTGGTGATTTAGAACCTTTGGATGATATTTTAAAAGGAGATAGTGATCCTGATTCACCCAGACAGTTAACTGAAGAAGGAAGGCAGGTTCTTTCACAGGCTGAGAATGCTATTCAGAATCATCAGGTACATTATACCCTGCACACTAGACTGACTCCTACAGCAGTATTATGGCAAAATGGTCCTGTTTGATGATTCTCCTGCTTCACCAGTTAAAGTATTATATTCATACTAGGAAAGTACAGCATGTCTGGTGCTAAAGAGTCAAGTTGAATCTAGAAGATATTTTGGCAAATAGCCTGAGATTGTTAGTGTGCCATTCACTTGACAACAAATTGATTGGCTATTTCAAAATAATGATTCTTGGGCAATTGCTTTTGCTTAATTTTAGGGTCAAATTGATAATCATTATCCTGCTGATCAATCATTACAATTTGCTCAGATGCATTCTTTTATTTTCCCTAAAGTAGTAATGCAAAGTCTGGTTAAAGATGCTACTTTGGCTTTTACTGATGGTTCATCTAACGGGAAAGCAGCTTATGTGAGAAATGGAAAGGGATATGTGGCTCAGACTCCTGCCTCAGCTCAGTGGTCACATTGAGAGCTGTTGCTATGGTCTTTCAAGTTCTGAAAGATAATTCACCTAATTTATATACAAACAGTCATATTTATAGAGCTGTTTAAGTTATAGAAACTGTTTCTTATATTAAAACTTCTAATGAGCAAATAAGTATATTATTTCAATAAATTCAGGATGTCATTCATTTAAGAAAATTGCCAAACTTTGTGGGACATATTAGAGCACATTCAAATCTTCCTAGTCCGTTGGCTGAAGGTAATTTACTCAGTTGACCACTTTATCTCAAGCTGAGCTTGCTCAGCCATCACATGCTTTGCATCATCAAAATAGTAAAAGTTCAAGAAAACAATTTGGTTCACCAAGAGCAACTGCTTGTCAGTTTGTTAAGAAATGTGCTCTGTGCCCACAGTATTTGCCTGTACCTCATTTTGGAGTAAATCCCTGAGGTCTTCTTCCTAATCATTTATGGCAAATGGATGTCACTAATATTACAGAGTTTGGAAAATTAACATATATGCATGGGACAATTGATACTTATTCAGGATTTTTAATGGCTTCTGCTCAAACTGGTGAAGCTACTAAGCATATAATTGCTCATTGCCTGAAATGTTTCTCCTATATGGGGATACCAAAAGTTGTTAAAATTGATAAAGGATCTGGATATGTTAGTAAAGCTTTTTATCAATTTTGTTCTCAATGGCAAATTTGAACATAAAACAGGTATTCCTTATAATCCTCAAGAATAAAATATCATTGAAAGAGTTCACAGCAGCCTCGAAATACATCTTCAACAATTAAAAAAAGGGGGGAATTATACCCCCAGTCATCACAAACTGCTTTAAATCATGCCTTATTTGTTTTAAATTTTTTAAAATGTGGATGCCGCTGGAAAATCTGCAGCTGATAGATTGATTTTTGGCATGAAGGCACCACCACAAAATTTGCTTAAGTCAAATGGAAAGATCCTTGTACTGGTTTATGGAAGGGCCCCGGCCCTGTTTAATATGGGGATGAGGACATGTTTTTTCACAGGACGAAAATGAAGCTCGTTGGTTGCCTGAAAGATTGGTGTGGTGTATGGAGCAGAGAGATGCTGGTCCTGATGTTGCTGATGACCATCCAGAAACACCAGCAAGAAACCTATTGGGCCTATGTTCCTGATCCACCAATTTTACATTCCGCAACTTGGGAAGGAAAAGAAATTGTGGTCCCAATTAATGATACAAGGCATTTAGATCGACCTGTCACCCAAGAGTTCCAGATTGCTCACAGTTTTTCTTATATTGGATATGGTAAAGGGGTTCCTGTATATTTTGCAAAAGTATATTACTTTGTTTTTATTTGTTTGTTTTGTTTTTTCAGAGCTGAGGACCGAACCCAGGGCCTTGCGCTTGCTAGGCAAGCGCTCTACCACTGAGCTAAATCCCCAACCCCCAAAAATATATTACTTTGGAGGGATGGCTTGGAGTGTTTCCAAACAAGTATTGGGACATGATAAACAACGTACACATTATATAAAGTTATTGCTTCCTCAGGATAGTTGGATAAGTAATATTACACACCCAAATGATTTCCTCCATGCACAAAAGAAATGCAAGTATCTGACAAGACTTCGTCATGGAGGCGATGGACTGGTGTTGCCTGGCATTGCTCCTCTCTCCTTTCCTCCCCCGTCCCTCCCTCCCTCCCTC